GAACTTTGTCTTCCTATATGCCTACTTTCACTTTTACATATACTTTGTTGGGTACTTTCACTTTTGGACAAACTTGATTGAGATCTATTGTATAGTAGCTGTTCATGTGTTGATTGTCTGTATTTAATTTCCGTATCTGCTTTGGGAGTTGATCTCCTTCTCTCTCTATCAGATGTTTTTGGAACAGATTTCTCTCCTTTTCCAGGATTAGCTCCCTTTGTTAATGTCACACCTTCTAACTTTGAATCTCTACTTAAAGAGTTACTTTCCCTCACTGTAGCTTTATCCATAAAAGATTTACATAACCACTCCTCTAAATCCACAGAAGAATACATTAAGTTTTTCATTTCCTGGTTTACAACTGAATTATTTGGAACCTCTTTGCGGTTTTCATTAACAATGGCTTTGATTCTTTCTTCCAGTGGGACTGCTGGCTCTTCATTTCCTGTCATTCCATGTCCCATAGCAAGAGCAAGTTCTTTTGGTATTTTCTTGGTGGGGCGAGTTTCCAGGCTTTCACTTCTGGTGACTCTACGACGACGAATTTTACTGTGAGGTTCAAGTCCGCTAACTGGCTTGTCCCTATTTCTCCGAAGTCGAGGTGAAATAGGCGCAGCCATGCAGACAACCATGACAGTCTGACTGCATAAGAAATTCTAAAGCTATTACACAATTAATTATTCAATATAATCATAAAAAAAAATCTTTCCTTAAAAAAAATTGACAAGGTGGAAGTTCACACACAGTCATAATGTACCAGACAGCATTTCATTACCGGTAAATTCCAAACAGAAATAGAATCAATATATTATTCAGAATAGCTCCAAAATGCAGTATGAATTTTGACATCTTTTAAAACTTGATCTCATTTTCATAATACATTCACTGCTCCCTGAAGTGTGACAATGCATTATAATCCAATCAAAAGTTTCCTGTCAAATGAAAAATAATTCAAGAATTCTTTCCTCTGTCCTATGAAAAATCTCCCAACCAAGGCATTACACAAAAATTTCATAATCACAAAATTATGATCTTATTCCCTCACATTTTGTCATGTCTATTAATCCAACATCTCTGAAAGAAATTAAGAAGTATGAAACCCAAGAGAAAAAAAAGAATTTCAAACTTGCACAAGTTGATCCACCTTAATTATCCTTTTTCGACAGAATCACTAAAAAACCTATCCCTCCAAAATAAACTCCATGTCATGGTCTTAAATTCCCAACTTCTGTTGATGACAAACACCCCGCTACAACATAAGACATAAGATCCGTGTTTGGGGTATCACCAAAAAATGTACCTCTCTCTATCAGTGTGCACTATAAAGGGCGATCCTTTAATATTCCAGCTAGGGTTAAAATTCCACACTTTAGCGTCATGCGTATGAAATATGACATGGTGTTGAAAGAAAAATTAATGACGAATCCTCTCCCAGACAGCTCAGGTAGAGAGGGGCACTGCTGTATAGAAATTAAAGCAGCAAGTTCTTAACGAATACGTCAGGAATTCCTAATGTGGCCATAGTATGTATTCAAATATATTCCTTTTTCACCATGTCAAAGAAATGTCTCTATGTTCTCCCTATGGCTGTAATTCTGTTAAAATTATTTAACGATCCTGATGATATATTTTTTTCTCTCTCTGGATCTATATTCAGAAATATATCACTCAACGAAGTATTCACGTCACAACATAATTTCGGAGAGGTTATTTCTAAATTGTCATTTTCTGTGATTGTTATTTTTTCCACAGGCCTCAATACATGATCAGAAACCCAGGGTTTCACTCATTGTCCCTCATTGATTAACAACCTAAGGTTTGTTAAACATTCGTACTGCATTCCTTTCTAGCCCTGCAGATTTGCAATGAACATTGGGAAGTGTTTTTTTTTTAATATCCAAAGTGTGTGTGTGTGTGACTCACATGGTTGAAAACTAGTTTCTGAATTTTTTAAATCTTCCTTTTTTTTTTCCTTTCTGATAAAGTGTCAACGGGCCCCCATTTTAGAAATCTCTGTCAGCATAATTCTTGGCACATGTACCTTTACCTTTAATGTCTTTTTAAATCCCCCGATATTAAAATCGTGCATCTGAATTCAACCTTACACTCTTATTTAAATCTCCCACAATTCCTCAATAGATATCGTCTATCTCTCTGTGAAAGACGATCAGACTGCAAGTGAAAGAAATGTTAAATGGAATTTTCACCTACGAACAATAATGATTTTTTCCTACGTGCACCTATCTGCAGACAGATTCATGGATTAAAAAAAAAAATACACAGACATTTCTTAAAAGTATGATCTCCATGAATTTAAATTGATAAAACACACCTGGCTGAGGTGTTCAAGAATTCTACTTTTTCTTCTTCTTAGGAGGAAACAATATTCCATCATTTTATTATATATACCTCCATGTTACTGCCTTGCGTTTAGAGAATCCTGCATATTTAATGAAATGTCACATTTATAAGCATCCCAAGAATTTAAATTAAAGGCTAGTTATGTAGTTAAAATGAAAGCCACCCTTCATTTCCAGCCCATTGTAAATTTCGGGGCTCATTTTGTAGCATTCCTTGGAATAAAGGTGAAAAAACAAGTTTAACAACTTCATTCTCCAAAACATTTTAGCTATAAAAAATTAATCAGTGTTTCATGAATTTTAGCTGTAAATCTATCAGCATGAATTTTATCTCTAGAAATCATCAATGTATCGCTTCCACTTCAGACCTCCTTGAATGACACACTTCCATGAAATTCTACTTTTTTTTTTAGTATAAACATGTAAAAAAAAAAATCTTTGTGAAAATTCAATTAGCAGTTATAGACAACCTGAAAACTGGAAAACAATTTGGGGGGAGGGGGGTGTTACACCTGATGTTGAGCAAAAAAAAAATACCACAAAAATAAAACTCCAATGGCTTAGTCCATGATAAAATACCCTTTATCTGAATTCTTTGCAGTCTAGCTATATGATCTATTTCCCCTAGCTCTTCAAATTCCTCTATTCACAAGGGTGTTATACGGTATTTACATATCTATCAAGTCTCCCATACTCCACATACTTCTACCTATCCACTGTGATTCCGCATAGTGTTTACATATCCATGTGTCTACCCCTGATTTGCTGTATAATTTTATTAAGTGTAATTTAAAACTGGGCTGGTTTTTTTCTTCTTCTCCTTTCCTTCAACCCCTTTTTTCAGCTCTGCCACCAGGTAAAACTTGCTTGAAATTTTTTAACTATTCAGCAAAGTTTCATGTTTTCAAACAATAATGTTCCTTTCTGCAAACTAAGGTAAAAACTTATGGCATTCAAACAAAGAAAAGAACCCTGACTTATCCTTATTTTTTTTCTCTCTCTCTCTCCGAGTTGTTGTCAATGAATTCTCTATAATAAGGCCAGTAGAAGTGGATTTTATATCAATCAGCCATTGGGAAAGCCAACAGAAATTCTAATGGATGATTTAATGATTCATTGCAAGACATAGAGATTGCATATGGAAATCTTCTAAATGGATATTTGAATACACTGATTAATAGAAAAACACCATCTGATCTACTGATTAACCAAGAAATGACAAAAACCCAAGAGAGGCTTGATAACATTTGGTCTGTGATTGACCTTGACCTGTGGCCTTGACCCCAATGATGCCAGCCCTGATCACAGAGGTGGGCCTGTAGTAGAAATTCAGGGATACACAGAGTTCCCCCTGCTTTGTATTTGTCTCTCATCTGAAACTCCCACTTCCAATTTCCCCCATGTTCCTCTCCCTGTAACAAGTACAGAATATTTTCTTCTTCTTCTAAATCAGACAAACATCCTGTGTCAACTGTGTGAAGCAGACATCTTTCCTCCATTTTAGTTGTTAGGGTAAAGAGAGTTGTTGTCTAGATGAGCTTTATTTGGTAGCTTTATCCCATGTGTTAACAATAGGGCTAGGGTGAGTGAACTTCTTATTGGACAATTGTGATAATGTATGGCCCAGGGCTAGGATAAAATGACAGTTAAGTAATGTATTAGTTACTGAGATTTAATCTCTCTTTCTCTCCTCTCCTCTCTCTCTCAGAAATACTTAAGTGAAAGGTAGTCCATTTAATCAGCAATGGTGACATTTTGTGGAAACGAAACAATGGAATTTCTAATGTATGCAAATGATTGTCACCTATGTCAGCTTAAACAAGACAGCATATATTCAGGTACATTATAAAACAAATTTATCTTCTGCACCTGAGCAATCCAATTTGGATTTATAGATCAACAGCTATCAAGAATACACAATATTTTTTTCTTGATAAAATGAAAACAGCCTCTCGTTTCAACACCTACGCATAACAATACTGTACATGTAGTAAAGAAAATAATGCATTTCTCCTCCTACACAAACCGGTCTCCATCTTACTAACCCTTTTATTCCCCTGTACCAGCTTTCATCTTGACAGACACAGACTTTGACGTCACTGATACAATATGAACTGAATCCCCTCTAGATACACCTAGATCTGCCTACATGTTTATACTTACAATTATTGTACATGTACCAAGTGAAGTATGACTGAGAACAGACTGATGAAACAAACACACAGGTTTGTACAATGCCATTTCTAATTTGTGGCTATAATCAGGACATTTACACATATTTTTCATCATACAATCAAGTTTTTAAAATATATATGTATTATTTCTCACAGGGTTAAAAGATCATGAATTAGTTAAGGTTACAGAGGTTACCTCCCTTGATAAATTTATCAAATTACAAAAATTTGTGCAATTATTTTTTAATCCTAAGCCATGTAGTTTAACTTAATTGAAATGTATATTGTGGATGTATCAGTTGTACATGGTTTATTCTTAGCAATGTCATAGGTCATTAGTCAATAAACTTGGAGAAAATACAAAATCTCTGAGCATTATCTTCATGATATGCAAAACATAGAGATCGTGACAAAATTCTCATTCGATCATAGCAGGTCAAGGTCAATGGTTGTCATGGTTACATACCAGGTACTCATCGTACGCAGGAAGTTCGCTATTGGTATCAGTATGGTTGTCCTTGTCTGGGATGTTGACATCGACGACCTTGATAGGAACAGGTTGAGGATAGGTGTTAGCTGGGATCTTGTGTGAAATGAAGCCGCCATCACTACAAAACAGAGAGTATACAACTGTAGTCAATATATATATAAAAAAAAGATAAAAAATTGTTACAGCTGCATTCAAGTTGTTCAACAACTTCTGAAATGATTTAATGGATGTATCACCTCATTAGAATTGTCCTCACAACATTAGGGGTTCAGAGTCCACTCATGGTCATGGGACCCCTGACAAACTACATTAAATTATTTTACTGGCTGACTGCAGTGACATTTTTTTCCAGGAAATTGCATATTGTGATTGTTTTTCTTATCTCTCGACCAATCACATTAAGCCTTTTAGTGACAAGCAACCTGTAGAATGTGCATTGAAGTGTAGACTGCTTATATACTTTTTATTTACATTTTATGTCAACTTATGAAAGCCCCTGTTTGATTGGTGCCTCTCAATAAGGGAAGCAAGTCCATTAAAAAACATATGAAGTTTTTCAGGGGTCCCACGATCAGAGAAGGGACTCAGGACTCCTGACGATGTGAAGATGCATTAGAACTAAAATTTCCTTAATTTCTTTTCATTTCTGAAGTGACAACAGTATGGCAAACTAAACACATTGCTTCTAAGCAGAAAACTGTAGTATTTTTAGTCTTTATAATACATACTAATTGATTTTCTTTGCAAAGGTTTATCAGTCTGTAATTCTCAAAAATATCCATGTTTTGAAATCTTTATAGACACAAATTAATTATTTAGCATGACTGAGAAAAATTTGAAATAAAACCATCTTGATCAGTTGACTGTTTGTAACTATGATCCTGAATTTGAGTCAACCTATTCTCAGTTACATATTCCCGGTGTACTCGCAGTCAGAACTTACAAAATCAATGTGTTAGTGTTCCGAGAGTCTTTACCATCTCTAAATATAAAATAACAATCAATTTACGCTAACATCTAGCTAAAAATCTCTCCACAGAAAAGCGGGTTACCTTTCAGCAGAATTTCCTCGAAACAAACATTTCATGCAACTCGTAAAGAGTTTGAAGACATCAAAACGTGGATTCTGAAACGCCATGAATACACCAGAAAACAAATTAAGAACCATCCATTTTTTGTCACATAAAAAGAAAAACTGACTCTGAAACAGTCCAATTACGGTGGAAGAAGAAGGAATGTTCAGCTTAAAAATTTCATTCTATTCCATAGAAAGAATTGCAAGTTAAAGTATCAAGATTTTCTTATATATTTATATTCCAGGGACATCCCGTCAAAATGGCTATGAATGAATCACACAATCCATTATAATCCAGGAATCTCTGTCATATCAGTTATAAAGCTCCCACTGTTGACAAGCTGAAATTAACAGTACCCTGTTATATAAATTTTGATATTCCAAAATCTGGATTTTTCAGTTTGGACTAAACATTGATCGTCTATCCTATTGATGATGTGGACTATAGGACTGGAACACAATTCTGGTCATTAGCCACACATATCTCAAAGTACATCAATTTTCAGGATAATAAAATACCTCCAATATTTCCACAAACCAAGAGAACACTCTGATTTTTCAATTGATTGTATTCCAGTACATAGAAAAGCTGGAAACATGAGTATTCCCTTTTTTCTGCCGTTTGACGGAAAAGAAGTGCAGATGTACCCTATTGATATTCCAAGCTCACTGCTAAATGGCAGACAGACATGAAATTCAAAGGAAGCAAACAAACTTCAAACAATCATGTCCTCTGCATCATATTCTAGGGTTCTCAAGTTAATACAATGCCCCAATTTTTGCCAAAGATAATAAACCAAACTCAAGGAGGACTAAACTATTACTTCTAAGCCTGCTCAGTCCTAAATCCAATATTGTAGAGACTAAGTCATTTCTGACCAGATATACAGAACTATCCACTGGGGAACCAAACCAATGTTTCTCCAGATCACAAATTTTCCTGAGTTTTTTTCCCCCTGTTTGATATGGCTTTGTGGAGCTGATTGTCTGTCACCATAATTAGACTCCCACTGTGTCTTGTAAACTAATCCCTTAATGAATCCGACTTCAGTGTGTGCTTACACATTTTATTAAATTAAGCACAGAGACAACATAAACTAGGGATGAACATGAAACTTCAACACCTCCTCAGTGTTGTTTAATTTAATGATTTGCACGTTCTTTCTTAGGAGTGGTGAGCTTATTGCTTGTAAGTCAACTACTTGTATTGAGTTTTTTTCTCTAAATTGAATGAGAAAGAATTTAAAGCAATTAACTTCAAATCAGTCAGGTTCAAAGAATAAATTATCCCATAATTTAAATTCATTGCAATGATTAAATTGCTCTCTATAAAACAAAATTTTAATTTACATTGGTTATATTATAACTGTTTTGATTTTTTTTTTTCCGCATACAGCACTGTTTTAAGGAATCACTGTCTAGTTAGTAGAGTATGCCAAGGTATCAACGATAGTTGGAAACGTGGGATAATTTGCATAACGTTGATGTCCCTGGCATACTCTACTAACTAGACAGTGATTTCTTATATTTCCATTTCATTGTGAAATAAAATTGAAAATTTAGATTTTAAAAATGTAGACTAATAGATTTAAATTACACGAGGCCTCACATGTCAATTTCAATAGTCCCCGCCCACTGACGTCAAACACAAAGACAGCCGAACGAGAGTTAAATGCATATTAGGCCTTCTTAGCTCCTGACCTTTCGCTTGGCGAAATTTGCATTCCGTTAGAATGATCAAGAAATCAACTCTCCTAACTGTCAAAGAGTTATCACAGAGAAAACAAATAGAAAAGGAAATATTTGTACTTTCACCAAAAGATCATATATGCTTTTTCTAACAATAAGAGTCATGTTTTTGTACAAAACATTCACTTAATGTGGTACAAGTCATTCAAAATCTTCAAGATTATAGAAAAAATCAGAAAAAAGAAATGCATAAAAAAAAAGAGAGATGTAGAAACATGACAAAAAGAATGGATGTTTGTAACTCATTTGACATGTTCTTGCTGGTAAACACAGACAGTATTAATAAACAAAAAAAATACAGTCTGGGTGTTATTTAATATATTATTGCGTATTTATTGAGAAAAATCTATAGAAATGATTCTTTGTGGGTTATAGCCGGTACAGAACATACAGGGTGACCAATAATTACAAAACTCAGGTGAGAAATCATTTTGTTTTTAATAAATATCATATAGCCTTCCAGAGTCCTTGTTAACACAAGAATCTGCAAAATAGATGAAGCAAAATTATTTGGGAATTGGTTATATAGCTTGGAGACATTAACACTATATTTTATTTATTGCATAAAATAACCATTAAATTAAAGGTTTGTATTGTTGTTTGGGTGGAAGTATAGTGCAATAATTCAGTTGGGACTTGATCAACATTACTATAACGGGATATATGTACACCAAATTTAGCTGGAACTCAACCTTCTTAAAAACCTTGAGTCCTGGGACTTGTGTTAACAAAATCCTAGTGAGAACCCTGCCTTCATAGGCCCAAAACATAACTTCGAAAAAAATTTATTACCCCTCCTAGTAACTCAGCTGAAAACTCCTTTTTTTAAAACTTTATTACACAAAACATGACTTATTAGAGAAACTTTTTACCCCTTAACTCTGATAGGAACTTCCACAAAATCAATACAGATTCGCTTAGGAGTGCATAGAATGAACAGTTCTCATACTAAGCTAGAGTAGACCCCAAAAGACTGCCTCCATGCTTCAACTTCACTCAGTGACAAACGTCTGTTGGAGGGAGTGGACTCAATATCTGACGAATTCAGCTTCCCACTGATGATCATTGAGAAAAATGAAACTTAAAAATATATAATTATACAGTTGAACCTCAGTATCTTAAACACAGATATCTCGAATACCCTAGATATGTAGAAGTGATTTGGAAGTCCTTATCATGTATTTATTTAGTATTTTACCCTCAATATCTTGAACTCTACTATCTGGATATCTTGAAGTTTTTTCTCAGTCACATCATATTCGAGATAACAAGGTTTGACTGTATAATGAAGACCACACTTAGATGTGAATGATAAAAAGACTCTTAAATCTTACTAATGCATTTTACATCATTATAATGATCAACTTTGAGAAACAGCTACACGTTGCCAATGGTGCACAATGAAATCTAAATCTCTTCTCCAGACAATCAAAACAGAGTTAATTCATGAAAAGTTGACTGCCTTATTTTCATTCTTGAAAATACCAAGTCCAATTTCTCTTCTGCTTGATTTATACCCCTGTATTCTAATTAATCCAAATATATCCTGTTTTCAGGCCTGTCAAATCCATTTACCACAGCTAAAGCATCCTGAAAACCTAGATTTACATACCAATATAAAAATCAATAAGTAACAAAATTCTGGAACAGGATATTAGAGATTCTGACTAATTGATATTGATCCTGTATTTAGTCAAACCACTGAACAGCAGAAGTCTCCATAATAAACCATTATATATAAAAGTCTGTAAAAATTCAGATCTGATAGTTCCATGTATTTATTTTTACAACTGTAAGAAGCTAAGGTGTAAATTTAAGGGCAATTATGCTGATTAAAAAAACTTCAAAATGCTACCTTAGTCTTTTTTTTTTTTTTAAAATTGGTGAATGCACTTTTTCTTCAAAAATGTATGGGGTTTTCTTTTCTTTCGGGGCTTTTCTGGGTATTACCCCATCACAAAGCCATGGTATTTTTTTTCTTGATCCCTTCAATTGTCACTGAAATATATGCAAGCTAGGGCCATGAAAGTCATACAGGATTCTTCTTGACTCCTTGCTATGTTGGATTCCTGCAATACTAGAGATGACTCAGACACCAGTACACAATTATACTTTAATTCTTATATGCAGCCAAACTCAAATAATTTCCTCTTACTTTAGGAGAGAATATGGAAAAAATTGCATTACACCAATATCAATTGCACAATACAAATTACAGCATGTGAAAAGTTAACATATATGCATAAGTATGGATTGAATTTCTTGAGGAGTTGTCTTCCCTTGATGAAGCTTTG